ATATATTGCGAAGCCCCCCCAATGATGGCATTGCCTTTCGGGGGCAGGTTTATGGTGTCTTATTCTTACCTGATACTGCCCCCTGCAGGCAATGCTATCTTCTTTCTTCTGTTTTTTGGGCTTCATTCTCCAGGAACCCACGTCAGCACTGTGCTCTGGCGCATGCACAAGAGTACAACTATAATGTCTATGGAGGATCCCGTGAGAGTCCACGTGGATATTATCTTGTTATCTCATGTAGAGTGAGATAATACCTTTTTCCCACAGCGATCACATTTTTAGAATGGAGTGTGCTTTTAAAAGCAGACATAAAAAATAACACATTTCTGTAATTTGACAAATTGATAAAGGGTGCTATGAGGAACCAGCATAATGTTTCTTGGGTGAGTCACTCCAGAATGCAAAATTGAGACATTCCAGACTCAGTAATATGACAGATAATATTATCATGTATATCCTCCTGAGATCAGCCCATTGACTTGTGTCCTCTGTACTGGACATTTCGTTCACATGCATTCACTTTTATTCTTTTGAGCTATTCTATCAATCCTTGCTGTATTGTAAAGAGGACATCCTGGGCTTGACAGTGACATGTCATGTGATAAGCTGGGATGCTGGGAACCTTCTCTCTTTCTCTTCCTATTCATCAAAAATGGATAGCATTTCGGATGACAATGTTTTACTTGGTTCCCAGGAGGATATAGCACCCAACATATTCCACTGCTATTTACATACATAGAAATAAAATATTAGCGTTAAAGAAAGCTCAAATCAGCTTACAATCCGTGAGGATTTTGGGGTAGGTGGATGATTATCATTAGGTGACTTACCCAAGGACACTTCCTGGTAAAGTGGTCCAACCAGAGTCAAACCTGACACATCATTGAGTTATTGGTAATATGTAGAAAAGGCATTTCTCATGAAAAGATATTAAAAGAGTTTGTGAATCATTCATCACAGCAATATTGCAAAACCCTGGCCTTGAAGGTAACAGTGTAGGCTTTGTAAAAGATGCCCTGTTTGGCATGTAGGCTAGGTCAGCCCCCTCAATAACCCCCACTTATGAATCATTTTTGATGGTAAAATGACCTTACCGCCCACCAGCAGCAAGGCAGAACTAGGTATCCCACATTATTAGCCAACAAGAAGAAATTAAACATAAAAAAGGAATATCTATATATCAGGGGTCTCTTTTTCTCTTAATTCTCTCATTCTGCTTCTTTTTCTTTTCCTTCCATCTTTTTTTTATTTTAAGTAAACCGAGTAAACAGAAAAAAGCAGAACTTAGCTTGCCAAAGGAAAATAACGGAACTTAGCCTGCCAAAGGAAAATAACGGAACTTAGCCTGCCAAAGGAAAATAACGGAACTTAGCCTGCCAAAGGAAAATAACGGAACTTAGCCTGCCAAAGGAAAATAACGGAACTTAGCCTGCCAAAGGAAAATAACGGAACTTAGCTTGCCAAAGGAAAATAACGGAACTTAGCCTGCCAAAGGAAAATAACGGAACTTAGCCTGCCAAAGGAAAATAACGGAACTTAGCTTGCCAGCGAAAATAACGGAACTTCTAGCCTGCCAGCGTAACAACGGAACTTAGCCTGCCAAAGGAAAATAACGGAACTTAGCCGCCTTGCCAAAGGAAAATAAACGGAACTTAGCCTGCCAAAGGAAAATAACGGAACTTAGCTTGCCGGAAAATAACGGAACTTAGCCTGCCAAAGGAAAAATAACGGAACTTACTTGCCAAAGGAAAATAACGAACTTAGCCTGCCAAAGGAAAATAACGGAACTTAGCTTGCCAAAGGAAAATAACGGAACTTAGCCTGCCAAAGGAAAATAACGGAACTTAGCCTGCCAAAGGAAAATAACGGAACTTAGCTTGACAAAGGAAAATAACGGAACTTAGCTTGCCAAAGGAAAATAACGGAACTTAGCTTGCCAAAGGAAAATAACGGAACTTAGCCTGCCAAAGGAAAATAACGGAACTTAGCCTGCCAAAGGAAAATAACGGAACTTAGCTTGACAAAGGAAAATAACGGAACTTAGCCTGCCAAAGGAAAATAACGGAACTTAGCTTGCCAAAGGAAAACAACGGAACTTAGCTTGCCAAAGGAAAACAACGGAACTTAGCCTGCCAAAGGAAAATAACGGAACTTAGCTTGCCAAAGGAAAACAACGGAACTTAGCTTGCCAAAGGAAAATAACGGAACTTAGCCTGCCAAAGGAAAATAACGGAACTTAGCTTGACAAAGGAAAATAACGGAACTTAGCCTGCCAAAGGAAAATAACGGAACTTAGCTTGCCAAAGGAAAATAACGGAACTTAGCCTGCCAAAGGAAAATAACGGAACTTAGCCTGCCAAAGGAAAATAACGGAACTTAGCCTGCCAAAGGAAAATAACGGAACTTAGCTTGCCAAAGGAAAATAACGGAACTTAGCTTGCCAAAGGAAAATAACGGAACTTAGCCTGCCAAAGGAAAATAACGGAACTTAGCTTGCCAAAGGAAAACAACGGAACTTAGCTTGCCAAAGGAAAACAACGGAACTTAGCTTGCCAAAGGAAAATAACGGAACTTAGCCTGCCAAAGGAAAATAACGGAACTTAGCTTGCCAAAGGAAAATAACGGAACTTAGCCTGCCAAAGGAAAATAACGGAACTTAGCCTGCCAAAGGAAAATAACGGAACTTAGCTTGCCAAAGGAAAATAACGGAACTTAGCCTGCCAAAGGAAAATAACGGAACTTAGCCTGCCAAAGGAAAATAACGGAACTTAGCTTGCCAAAGGAAAATAACGGAACTTAGCCTGCCAAAGGAAAATAACGGAACTTAGCTTGCCAAGTTCAATATCAGCCACCCTAAACGACACACTTCTTCCTGTCCCAGCTTTCACATCGAGTGCATTAGCTCCCCTCCTCTTCTGGCATGTTACAACATCATGCCCCTATTCATCCAGATCAGGATTGCAGCCACTTATGCGCTTCCTTTAAGCCATGGAGAGAAATTTTGCAAACATAGGCATTCATGCAATGCATGTTGGGGATTTTTGTGAGGTCTCTCGATGGCTGGAGGGAGGAGTAAGCCTGAACGGAGCACGTGGTTGTGACAGAGAACCGAGGGTCGCAGATAAAATCGACCGCCACCCACCATAAAAGCTTGAATTGGCCACTAGTTGGCGATAGGGACCAGGTTAACAACCACAGGAATAGGTGTTTGATATCCACTTTAGTGCAGAGGACATTGTCATCATCAGAGGCACTGTCTTGAAGAAGAATGCTAGGTCAGAAGATGTATTATATCCCTGAATAATCAGGTAACTCCCCTGAGAAAATGCACACATATTGCTTGCGTTCTAGATCAATAAGGAAATGTGTGGTTCCATTTCTCGCGTAGAGAGATCTTATGACTTTGTTCTCGACTTGCTCACTTTTATAATGGAACGTACAAGTGCTTAATCAATATATCTGAATGAGCACGTGCTATCATTTCTGGAATTGTTTGGCTTGAGTAGTCCTTGTTTACAGTGTTCAGAGTTCACCGGCTGGGAGTCGACCTTTCCAATGGCCAACATCCAAATCACTGACTTATTTTTCAGGTATTAATTACTGGTTTCCTTGTTAACATAGTGGCCTATATAGTTGCCTGCCCAAAGACCAGGATTATATACCCTGACAGGGAGCACTCTTTTTATCAGCTTATTAGAGCAGTGGAAACATCACTGCCTTAGAACTGGAAAACAAGTTTGAATCCAGTCAGACCACCCTACAAGTAAGTGTTCTTGGGCAAGGACTTAACGATATGTATCCACCTGCCTCAAGTCTTGTAGATTATAAGCGTGTTTGAGCAGGCCCTTCTTCACCTCTAAATATCCCCTTTCTATAATTATAAAGTGCGGCACAGTCAGTTGGTGCGATAATAATAAGTTTGCAATTGTATTTTAGTTTTTAAAAAGGACTTCTCTCAAATGGAGAAACAGTAGTGCTTTGTTTAAAATTCATTCCACCCGTATATAATTTATTTCTTTAATTTCAGCATGGATAATATACCTCAGGCTGTAAGAGTGACATTCGGGTGCACGGTTATTTTTACATTGTTGATATAGCTTAATTAGCCCGACCCGGAGCAGTTTTCATCTCTCGATCACATTTCCTACTACAGGCTGAATGAGCGTAATAGGAATTGTAGTCCCCAAACATCTAGGAAGAGGTGCTCACAATGATCTCATCAGGGAGTCCTGACAGGTACATTGCAAACAAGCAAAAGAGAAAGGCACAGAAGATCTTTAAATGTAAACAAGGTAATTGGTTTCATTGAAAAGCATTGGCTACATTAAGGAGTTATTTACTAAATAAAGAAATCTAGAGATACGATAAGAGAATTGCAAAGAATAATAGTGGATCTGGAGAATTATTTCAAATTAATTTATTTTAGCCTTCAATTCGCTATTATAAATTTCTGAAGCCTTTGTATATCAATATCAGTGGTTCACAAACCGGTCCAGGATTTAGGGATAACCCAGTTGTGTCAAAGGTGTTTTTAGAAAAAAAAAAAAACACTTTGTACAGAATTGGGTAATCCCTAAATCCTGGACTGGTAGGGGAGCATGAGGACTGGTTTGGGAACCACTGATTCATATGATCCCAGGATGCTTTGAGTGACACAGTTGAGAGTAAACTGTGTCCATTACTTGCAGTTTTATTCTGATGAATTCACTGTTTAGTGGATATACCCTACCGTACCAGGTAGATGAGGATTTATTAATTTAAATTAAAATTATTTTTATTTAACACATTTTCAACACTTGTTACAAAACTTTTTTTTAAACACAAATATAAAACAATTCAAATAATGGATAAAATAAGAGGAAGGGGAAAAAAATGTGTGAAAGGGGTTTAATCATATCTGGATGGTAATAGAAAGATTATTGTACATCTTGTGCAGTCACACCTGAGTTTGACTCAGTGGCATTTCGTGTAACAATGTAACTCCTCCTTTGTAACCAGAGCCAGCAGGTGAGGGTACGCCTCTATCTACTAGACTTGTTCAGACATTCTTGCACTCAGCGATTACAGGCTGAGGGAAACATGTCTGCTCCTTGTACCTTGCACCTGGCTGTTCTGGGACTCTTATTTGTTTCAGGTTAGTGATTGTTTTCCCGAATGGACAATGTGATCAGTACGGCGGGATTAAACTTTGTACAGGTTGCACCATATGTATTAATATTGCACTTTGTGCTGGTGTCTGTTTTGGCACAAGGACAGGGGGGAGTCAGTGTGGCTATCCTGTTACTAAATCCCGAGTTATCGCAATGAGGTTGTGACGTTTCCAGGCACTTGTTCCCACAGATTACTCTGCCTCTAATCGTTCAGGGCATTTATTATTTATGTAGCGCCAACATATTCTGCAGGGCTGTCCAACAGGAATATAACAACAACAAATGGGTAAACAGGTTAAGGGGATTATAAACAAGAGGTGGGAATTATAAACAAGAGGTGGGAATCCTAAATGGGTGGCAAGGGATTTTACTCAAATCATCTAACAAACTAAATTTCAGGGCAGGAAGTCGGCAAAAGATTAACATCTGTTTTTCACTGCAAGTCTTTTGTGAGGCTGTTAATATGTACCAGCAGCAGCTGAACCAGAGCATAATTTGGGATCTTATTTACTAAATGGTGTATTGAAAAAAAAACCTTTTACAAGCTAAACTAAAAAGTTTTTTAGTGGGATTTGTGGAATTTGAATGATAACTTTCCAAAAATTCACTGTTAGTAAATCCAATACTTTTTGTGTGTGTGTGTGTGTGTGTGTGTGTGTGTGTGTTGAGAATGGACCGCCTAGAAATACAATTTTTTTTTTCTTTTAAAACACAACCTTTAACCTTTTGATATATTTCTCACCAGTGTAAAGGAACTCTTACACCATATTTGCTCTTACTACAATGCCCTACCCTGCATGATAATCCTAATCTCATGATTCCATTCTGCATTTCTTTGCCTCCATGCAAATCTAATTCTTCAACCTATTCCATATTTACAACCAAATACAGCAGCCATAGTTTTAAAAAGGTTGAAGTATTCAAGCATCTCAATTCCTGCAAATGAGTTAAAGATTAATCAATTGTCAAACTATTTTCATACTGGTATGCTAATGGTAAAGGTTTTAGGACCCTGTGATTGCTTGGCTTAGAACTAGGATCACTAGATCCGCCATCAAGGATATTCACCAAACTCTGCATTAGTATACCAAATTAAAATCTGTTTTGTAAAATTGAGGAAAAACTGCGGATTTCAAAAAAATTGTCCACAAGTGCTCTAGTCACAACTTGAATATTTTAGCCTCAATTCTATAATTTGGCTTTTAATTCAGAACAATTCACAGTTTAGTGAATAACTCAACATGTTTTTCTGGACACTTATCGTTCCTTTATGCCGATGGGCAGGACAGGAAAAATGCTGCCCTGTGGAATGTAGAATTCCTAGGAAGTCAATTAATCAAAGCAATTTCTCTGGTATTTATTTTTAATTGATTATCCACCAGTTACATATGAATTATACATACTGCAACGCTGCTACTTGAACGTACTGCCCTTCGACTGTTATTTGAACTTTTAATCAAATATAGCGGCAGCTTTGAAGCAGGTCCTTCCAATTTTGTATCTAGTGATAGTCCTCTAGCTAAAGTTAATTGTTTTCATAACTTGTGAAAGTAAATTAATCTAAACTGTTTGCTAAAGGTTCTATTGAATGCTAATAATTCAACATGTCTAACAAGATTATAGTTTATTCCTTTTAATGTTTATAAATAATCCTACCCACCCTTTCAGGGCTTAAAATTGAGTCCCACATTACTAGCCAGTAGTGATGTCCCGAACGGTTCGCAAAGGTTTGCCGCGAACGGTTCGCCACGGACTCCAGTCAGCAGACACATTCCAACCAATCAGCAGCAGACCCTCCCACCTCCTGGACAGCATCCATTTTGAAGCTGCATTCTTAGTGAGCTGTCCAGGAGGTGGGAGGGTCTGCTGCTGATTGGCTGGATTGTGTCTGCTGACTGGAGTCCTTGGCGAACCGTTCGGCGAACAGTTCGGGACATCACTACTAGCCAGGCCTTAATAAATACTTGCCTCTGCAAGCCTGGTGGGTCAATGAGACCGTTACCTGGAGTAAATTTCTCTTTGCCAGCTCAAAATATTCACTTGCCAATGGCTAGTGGCAAGTTGACGATTATCAGCCCTGATATTGCAATAATAGAAATATACTTCTATACTTTTGTTCTTACTTTTTAAAGTTTTTATACCTTCCAATGACTGCTATATGGATGTTCATATGCATATGAAAGCAATTTAGGTAATGTTTGGATGTAAGGATGTTAAACGATCATAACCTAGGTTGGCTCTATCCGGCAGCATATGAATGCAACATACAGCAGGTAGTGCTTTTATGTAATGCCCATCATGATGCGCTCTGTGATCACCTGGTGGATCTGGGAACCCAGGCTGTTTTCAAATCATTTCTGTCCAAACACTCACGTTAGTTTTATTACCCTTTTTCACCTGCCTCTCTCACTCTCTAAATACTCTCCAGTTATAACAGTACACACTGCACTCTATACTTCTACATTTTTTTTTATTTTTTTTTTGTACGTGATATTTGAATCATTTACACTCTTTGCCACTTGGTGCATTTGTGAGAGGGTAATGCACGAGTGTTAGAAGCTGTTGCGTCACTTTTTAAGTGGGCTGCTCACTATTATGCATTTTTTTTTGTAACTTTTTCTTTGATATTTATTGTATCATTCTTTATCTATTTTCTCTGTTTCCCTTTCCTTTTCCCTTGTGTCTACACTTTTTTTCCTTTTCATTTTTCACTTTTCCTTCATTTTTGCTTTAGGATAATTCTGATTTCTTATTTCGTTCTCCAGGTCGAGATAATACGTGCTATTATTATTTCGTCTGTTAATTATTGTAAACTGAATTTCAGACACAATGAGCAACTATAAACCTGAGCAGTTTATTTCTTTCATATGGATGTTGGGCAGAAAAATTTGTTGGCTTTGGCATAAAAAACCTGTATAAAATACTTTAATTATTCATTCATTCTTTCATTCACAAACACAAATTGAGCCACTCAATGTAATGAAATGTGTGTTTTGTTTTTTATTTTATAATTATTAGAATAACTATTGTATCTCGTATCTCATTATATGCACACTTTTTAATCATATAACTTCTAGAATACTGGCACCTGTGTTAATACTATTCTAGGCAAGACTGGCCCGAGACATGAGTCGAAAGGAAATATGACCGCATCAGAGTGTGTGTCAGTGTGGTGGATGCAGAGTGTGTGTCAGTGTGGTGGATGCAGACAGGGCTGGATTAACATAGGGGCTGATGGAGCTGCAGCTCCAGGCCCAGGCCCATGGAATAGGCCCATTTTTACACACTACTCTTAGGTCTGCCATCTGACTGGTATTTTACTGGCACAGCCGGTATTTGAGGCTGCCTGGCCGTGCCAGTATTGCAGTAATACAGGCAATACAAATGCAGATATTTTTCTCAGTATAAAAGGAGATTACTCTGCAATACCAGCACCGGCCAGTAGGGGTCACTGTGTGTGGAGAGAGGCAGGGATAGGAAGTTACAGCATATCCCTCTCTGCCTCTCTCTACTCACTGATCTGCGGCGGAGCAGCTGCACAGCACAGAGAGTCCAGACAGCAGCTCCCAGCCTGCAGAGACAGACTACAGCCCAGGCAAGTGAGGGATGGGGGGGAAATGCAGCAGGGAAACTAGGGGACACTGAGACACTAGGGGACACTGAGACACTAGGGGACACTGAGACACTAGGGGACCTGGGGACACTGAGACACTGGGAGACCTGGGGACACTGAGACACTAAGGGACACATGGGGACACTGGGAGACCTGGGGACACTGAGACACTAAGGGACACATGGGGACACTGAGACACTGGGAGACCTGGGGACACTGAGACACTAAGGGACACATTGGGACACTGAGACACTAAGGGACACATTGGGACACTGAGACACTGGGAGACCTGGGGACACTGAGACACTAAGGGACACATTGGGACACTGAGACACTGGGAGACCTGGGGACACTGAGACACTAAGGGACACATTGGGACACTGAGACACTGGGAGACCTGGGGACACCGAGACACTAAGGGACACTGAGAGACCTGAGGACCTGGCCTTCCAATTCTTTGGACAGACATGCCCCCTTTTTGGGCATGTTCGCCCCTTTTTGCAGTTCTGGTCACGTGATTCGCGTCAGTTGCCCACCATTTTACCCCCCCTCCCCCCATTGACTTCCTGCTTCACTGGACACTGCTGTTAGGGGTTATGGATTTACTTGAAAGATGAAAGCATATTAGAAAGAGATTAGCATGGAGTATGTGTTTTCTTATAGCTGCATCCTTTGAGTTTCCCTCCAATACCATCTACATCAGATGCACGACACTTGAGAGGTATGACTGTTTTACTGGTTTTAGTCGATAAGATTCTGTTATTAGGCCCCATCATAATTGTCAGCACCAGGCCCACTGGACTCTTAATCTGGCCCTGGATGCAGAGTGGGTGTCAGTGTGGTGGATGCAGAGTGTGTTTACTGGTGTATGCATGTTGTGTAAATGGAGCATTCCCCCCACCCACTATTAAATGTAATAAATGTTTCTCCCCCTCCCTGCTTCTTATCTGGTCCAGGGAGGGGAATATTCCATCCCTGGTGGTCCAGTGGCATTGTGGGGCTCCCTGTATTTGCAGAGGGGGCCCAGCAGACTGCAGCAGGACATTACAGCTCTTCCCTCTCTCCAACAGGTCTCCCGGGAGTTTGAGAGAGGGAAGAGCTTTAAAGTACAGCTGCAGTCTGCTTGGCCCCCTCTGCAAGTATAGGGAGCCGGGAGCCCAGCTGCGTGTGTGTGTGTGTATGTATGTATGTATGTATATATGTGTGTGTGTGTGTGTGTGTGTGTGTATATATGTATGTGTGTATATATATATATATATATATAATGTGTATGTGTGCAGAGAGGGAATGTGGGGCTCAGGACTGCCAAAGCTGTCCGGGCCCCCCAGGACCGCCGGGCCCGTGACAACCGTCATGGTTGTCACCCCCTGATGGCGGCCCTGAATCTCCCCGTCCTTTATTATAATGTAAAGCGCTACGGAATTTGGTGCCGCTACATAAATGCCAATAATAATTTTATTATAACACAGTTACAATCTCACTGACAAGGTGGGAAAAAAGTTTTCCAAAAGCTCCAATAAACATGAACTTTAGGCCTGCTCTGGTTGATTTTTATTACTTATTTTGCTAGAATGGTAAACAACATTTTAAAATGAATTAACCATTCAAGCAATTCTGTTGTAATAGGTACCAGATGCCCTATTCCATCGTAAAATAGAGAACGGTGTGGAAAGCGATCTTTTTCGCAGTTCACTCGTGTTATTTTGTGTAGCTTAGCAGAAAGACTCTCTACGTGTATAACAACTTATTTTAGTGCTTATGGTAAAATTTGTTTTTTCAATAGAGGTATATTAGACCATCAATGTCCCCTAACAGATAACATAATACACGATAGGCAACCTTCAACACTCCAGTTGTTGTGGACTACATCTCCCATAATGCTCTTGCACCCATAATGCTGGCAAAACATCAGGGGAGATGTAGTCCAAAACATCTGGAGTGCTGAAAGTTACCTACCCCCGATATAATACCATATAATGAGCTGTAGTGTTTATGGTGCTTAGTGACCGGTTTTAATTTTCTGTTTGAATATGAAAGATTAATAAATATGTCACACACTCTTTATTTATTACCACCTAACCTCCTCTTGCCTCCTCCATTTTCCCTTCAGCGTACCCCATGAAAGTCTTCACGTCAAAAGAATTAGAAGCTTTGAATGGCACAGACGTCCGTCTGAAGTGCACGTTCAGCTCGGAGTCACCACTTGGGGAAGATATCACGGTGTCCTGGCAATATCGACACCTTCAAGAAGAGAAAACAGAGAATGTAAGTACTGAATTATAACAAAGCTTTAATTACTCTGCTTGTTGTGCTCTGTCAGCAGCGAGGACGGGCACTCGTAGCAATGCAGGAACAGGTAATTTCCATTCCAACATTGCTTAATCAAGCCACAGACATGTTGGGGCCTAGACTGAACTCCTCAAAAATGCAAATCTCAAAACAAGCTATGCCAAAGTGATCAGTACACCCGTAAACCTTCTCGTGTACCGGCTCTTTGTATGCATTCAAGTGCATGTATTATTAACCCATTAAGGACCAAACTTCTGGAATAAAATGGAATCATAAGTCATACATGTCATGTGTCCTTAAGGGGTTAAAGGGACACTATAGTCACCCAGACCACTTCAGCTCAATGAAGTGGTCTGGGTGCCAGGTCCCTCAGGTTTTAACCCTTCAGATGTAAAACATAGCAATTTCAGAGAAATTTGCATCCAGCGTGCAGAACTTCCATAGGAAAGCATTTAGAAATGCTTTCCTATGGACTGTTTGAATGCCCGCGGCTCTTGCCGCACATGCGTATTCCACTCCATTTGGGAGCTGACGTTGGCGGGGGAGGAGAGGTCACTAGCGCCAAGGGAACCCGGCACTGGATTACGGTAAGTAGCTGAAGAGATTTCAACCCATTCAGTGCCAAGGGAGGGGGGACCCTGAGGGTGGGGGGACCCTGAGGGTGGGGGGGAACCCTAAGTATTATATAGTGTCAGGAAAACGGGTTTGTTTTCCTGACACGATAGTGATCCTTTAACCCCTTAAGGACACATGACGGAAATATTCTGTCACAATTCCCTTTTATTCCAGCAGTTGTGTCCTTAAGGGGTTAAAGTAAATCAATAATATTTAGCTTTGAAATAGGAAGCTGGTATTCACAGTGTAAAACTTAATAGGCTTATTTTTCTTTCTTTAAACTCACTGCACACTTTGTTTTGCACTTTGGGTTATGGTGTGAGGACTTTGTTAGGAATTATACGAGGGGAAACCGTCATCAATGGGGCTATTTAGGACTTTTTCAAGTAGGCAGAATGAAAGGGATCTATCCATTTACTAGATGTTCAGCTTTTATCTAGTTACTCTTGTCAGGCAGCAACCTTTCCAGTCTGTGTATCTCCACCTGCAGAATACTTTGTTAATCTAGTTATTTGGGGGTGGAATTCACAGCAAGAGCTTTACTAAGTGTGACTATGGTGAATCTTCCTGATATCCCAAGCCTTGATTTACTTTATTTAGTTTATTTTTTCCAGACATTGACCTTCAAGTCAGTTTATTTATCTCTAGCAAGTTTAGGAAAGGCTTGTTTAGAAGTGTTACTTTCTCTGGGACAGTTTTCCTAGCACTCTGCACAACATAACAAAAATAACCAGTGGCAACTTTGTTTCAATATACCTTACTATAGTACCTTTTGAGTTTATTTATGCGCAGGCGTAATAGGTGGCCATATATGTTCCAGGGATCATCACTCTCTCCTTCAGTTTTATGGGCCAGAGAGGCTTGTGTAGTCTTTGCTTTTTGCTGCTCATTATTACCCTCTATTTTTGATTAATTCTAGCAGCCTCCTGGATCCTACGTACCCATTCAGGATTGCAGAGCTTAACAGCGTGTGCGTGTGCGTGTGACTTATGGTTGTTCCTTTCAATATACTTTTAATAAATTGTATTTTTAAATTTTGTCATACAAACCTATAGGGACTTTATTGTGTCCTCTGGGCTTTAGGTCCACAGGTCACTCCAGTCTACGTGTGTGTGTGTGTGTGTGTGTATGTATGTATGTATGTGTACATACATACATACATACATACATTTTATAGATTGAATAACCGCGCAAGAGCTCAGCACTCAGCATCTCCACAATGTTATGTGCCCAGATACATTGTAGCATGAAAGAGTTCTCTTGGGACTTTTTAACCAATAAACTAATGTTGTTATTTAATTCCGCATTACTACAAAGTATAATACAGGCAGTCGATGTATCAGTCCCGCCTGGGATGATTGTCAAGATTTTCATCTTGAAAAATATCCCCAGACAGGACATCAATGTCAACTGACTGTATTTTCTAATTTGTTGTAATGCAGAATTAAATAGCAACATTAAAAGCCGATCAGATTGAGCTATTGTGAAATTCTTCATAAAATAAACATTTACTTATACAGCATGTTATGTAATTGTATGTTTGTTTGCTTTTTTTTAATGTCTTGTTTTTAACAGGGTTTCCCATATAATTTGGTTGTTTCTTAGTTTTTGTGTTTTATATTATTTCCTTGAACATTATTTGCTTCTACTTTCAATGCTACTTATTAGTTATTCCATCTCGTACTATTCTACACAATTACTATGTATCACATGCGGGCTTAGCTTTTATTGATTCGTTATTTTCTGTTAAAGTCCAACCTGTCCCAGCTACTTACATTTTATATGTGTTAGATTTTTGTCCGAATTTTTGTACAGGCTCTCTATGACCTGCTAAGAAAACATGAGTAATGTCAATTAATCGTTAATGGTAAACAATATTTTTTTCTTAACTACGGCTTTTATTTAATATTTTTGGATACACCTTAAATTTATTTTTTAATAGTTTTTTTTTTGTTTTTGTTTTTTAAATATTAAAGTATCAATAAATATTTAAATATAACAAAACACGACAATTTTTTATATATATATATATATATATATATATATATATATATATATATATATAATTTATTTTTTTTATTTTTTTCATAACATTCAATCATTAGAGATGTTTTATCCAAAACTATGAAATAATTTGAAAAGCTTACCCAACAATATTAAATCGATTCCTATGTTATGCTGTTTTAGCTGTTACCCATTTATGTTATAACCTTGTAGTACAATATACAAAAGAAAAGTTACATTGGAGTCTAATGTGTAGGTGATGTCACACGATGGTCATACATAAAAGATAAATACAGCTGATTAAATGTAGGTGTAAACTGGTTCTGTAACTGTGTACAATGCTTTTTGGAATGTGAACTATGGGGTGGTTTGTTCATGTATCATACTCCCAGCTAGACAATAAAACTTTATGTTTGGATAGGGCTTAGCATTGTAAGTTTTGTCCCCATTAGAACAGAACTGAGAAAAGGTTTAAATCCAGATCTATTGATGTATCTTGGAAGACTGGTTTGGAAATCTCTGACCTAGACAATCAACGGCCTTCTGGAGATTCTTGCTCGTAAACATTGCTATCATAATTAGGAGGAAAACTAGTTACAATCCGGGCTTACGTGAAGAAGGTTTGGTTCACAGAAGAAAAATATATGTGAAAGTTGCCGTTGAACTGAGATAGCAGAGAAAGGGAAAAACAGCAAGTCGTGCTCAGTTTTAATTAAAAGGACCATTGCTCGTGACAAAATGGCAGATACAGTGGTTCTGAGTGGAAAAGAGTGGAACTTTTGCCTGCCCAGTGGAATGTGAAATGCTTTAGTACCAGTTCTTTGGGTTTAAAAAGGTCAATAATCCTCTCATCTATAGGTAAAGAGAAGAAGACCTCAATCCTTCTAAATTATTAATACTTTGTCCAGGAGAAATAAAACCAAAGTAGTAGAAATAAATGCAGTTAAGGCTTTTGTAGGTTTTGTGCAAATCCATCTGATTGATCTCATTTTCAACTTTTGGAGCTTCTTACCTCTACGATACAAGGGCCATTCTGTGTGGTGCATAAAACCAACACCTAACATTTAGCTGTCCAAGTGTTTGGTGTGAGCACTCATTTCATGGAATTGATAACCACATGGCTGGGTGAACAGGGAACAGTGCTGTAAGTGCTCTCACAGTACACCGTATAGCAGGGGCGCCCAAAAGATAGATCCCCAGAAAGTCTAAAACTACATTTCCCATGACGCTTTGCCAGCCTTCAGAATGACAAATAATCAGGGATTCTAAAGTAATTGTGGATATCTGGTGTGTAATGTGCATACAGTTTTCATGATTCAGCCACTCTAATGCAGCACACCCTTTTCAATCCGCATATAAAGTACAGGGTGTGTTTTTCTCAAGTAAAAGAAAATACATTCCATAAGTAGAATTAAGTTCTTTTAGAACAAATATAAAAAAGTTTTTAAAAAGAGCTAAATTCTGTCCACTTTAAATGGACATTATAGTCACCTGAACAACTTTAGCTTAATGAAGCAGTTTTGGTGTATAGAACATGCCCCTGCAGCCTCACTGCTCAATCCTCTGCCATTTAGGAGTTAAATCCCTTTGTTTATGAACCCTAGTCACACCTCCCTGCATGTGACTTGCACAGCCTTCCATAAACACTTCCTGTAAAGAGAGCCCTATTTAGGCTTTCTTTATTGCAAGTTCTGTTTAATTGAGATTTTCTTATCCCCTGCTATGTTAATAGCTTGCTAGACCCTGCAAGAGCCTCTTGTATGTGATTAAAGTTTAATTTAGAGATTGAGATACAATTATTTAAGGTAAATTACAACTGTTTGAAAGTGAAACCATTTTTTTTTCATGCAGGCTCTGTCAATCATAGCCAGGGGAAGTGTGGCTAGGGCTGCATAAACAGAAACAAAGTGATTTAACTCCTAAATGACAGTGAATTGAGCAGTGAAATTGCAGGGGAATGATCTATACACTAAAACTGCTTTATTTAGCTAAGGTAATTTAGGTGACTATAGTGTTCCTTTACTATAAAAAACCTTAATGGGACTCTCCTTGCACCAGTAAAACTATAATGCATTTAATGGGTTTTGAATTCATTAAATATTGTAATGTTTTGCTCAAATAAAAAAAATATTTTATATTTTGCAGAATATGCACCTATTAAGTCTGTATGTGAAGCTAGGCCACCCTCACTCCAGACAAAGACAAAAAATTAAGGACAATGTAGCTGACTTGTAAAAACTCTGTAATTTGGCAGTGCTACCCTGAATGTTCAAAAGCTATCTTCTGTCCGTACTCCCACCTCTGATGCTCGCCTTCAAGATTTCTCGAGGGCTGCACCGTTCCTATGAAACTCGCTTCCCTCTTCCGTTAGATGCTCACCCAGTCTCCACTCCTTAAAAAAATCGTTAAAAACCCACTTCTTCATAAAAGCGTATCAATTAAACTGTTAATAACTCCCAACTGATTCCTCTTCTGCAACTGTGACTAGTCTAATACTATGCTTACCTTTTTGTGTCACTTTACCCCACTCCCTCTAGCATGTAAGCTCATTGAGCAGGGCCCTCAACCCCTCTGTTACTGTGTGTCCAACTTGTCTGGTTACAACTACATGTCTGTCCATCCACCCATTGTAAAGGGCTGCGGAATTTGATGGCGCTATATAAACAATAACCTAATAATAATAAAACTGTTTTAACTTCATCCCAACTCACTATATAATATATAAATCCCATTATATTTGTTTCTGTACAATCATGGATGCAGACAGCTGACCGTAAAACCTGGGATTGTGTGTTTTTTTTGTTTTGTTTTTTAGCACCTTCCTGTAGTATTAATAATATTATTACATGCATGTGATTCATGGTTTACACCATGAAACATCTTACAATAAAAACCGTACACTGTGTTAATTTTTATTTTATTTTTTAGATCAGCCCCTCATTTTTCGCCTGATTGCCAAATTCTTGCACATACCTTTTTTAAATATGAGGGGAAAAATGCCTATTCTTTTTAGGGGAATTCTAGATGTGAATGCATTCATGTTAGCAGAGCTATTCTCTAGTCACATACCTCTGCTGTTAAACATACAAGTTGCCTGCTGTGGATTGTTGCAAGGTAGCCTTCGAAGGGTAGTTAGGTGGTCTTTGACACTCCCTACTTGTTACTGCTGTAGGTGACTGGACCACAAGTGACCCACATGTGGTTGGCAGCTTCTTGTCTAGTTGTCATTATCCCCTTAAGGACACAACTTCTGGAATAAAAGGGAATCATGACGGAATATTTCTAACCTGTCTGATCTGATCATGTAGAACAGCTACTGTAGCACAAATTGCTGAAAACGTAATGCTGGCCATGATGCAAAGGCCAGTTTGCTGCCTATGGTGCTGTATAGCCGCAGACCAGTCAGACTGTGCCATGTGCATCACCTACTGGGGAAGAGATGGCTAAAGGAAACCATGAAGATGTGATCTAGTATGAGGAAGCGGACCATTGCCTAAGCAAATACATTTATAAGTAGTTATGTTTGAATAAATTGTGGTGATGAGAGAAAGATTTGACAAAGTAGGGTATCTGAAAGTAAAATAAATACCCTCACAAAGTAGCCCAAAGTCTTTAAAGACTGATCATCTCAGATTCAGAGTGAAATTTCACAGTTGTAATCTTGACCCAAGATCAACTGAATTCACTTTTATTTATTTATGATCCCAGGGAGTTACATTTTCTTCATCTCTCCAGGTGTTCTATTATCACAGGGAACCGTATCCTCCACCTCCGGGTCGATTTAATAGCCGTGCTTTCTGGGATGGGAACCTGAACCGTGGTGATGCCTCTATAATGCTAAGAAATGTTCAAGAAATGGACAATGGAACTTACCTATGTCAAGTCAAGAACCCACCAGATGTGCATGGACAGATGGGCGAGATCATGCTCAGAGTGGTCAACAAAGGTAGCTTGGAGTACCAATAACAAAGGCTTTAATTTACAGCAATCAACAATGTTTTCTCTTTAAATAAATGCATCAACTTTGTATCATTTATACCTCTGTTGTTATTCTTTAGTCTTGTTTCCGTGATTGTCATCATTTCGAGAATTTTGTGACTTGGTTGAGTTACTCTGTTGCCATTTTTTTTTCCTCCCATTTCTACAGCAAAGTTCTCAGAAATTCATATTTTAATGCTGATAATTGGCATTGGCAGTGCCTTTATAATCTTGTTGGTCTTGGCTATAGTTCTGTTCCGGTACTATAGGAATCGAAATGAAAGGAGCACTCCTGTCTCTAATCTGGAATGGTAAGAAGGAATAATTACTTCTAGCACTTGATTGTGGAAAGCTTTTAAATAGAAATGCAAATCTTCCCTGTCGCAGGATGTTAAACCACTTTAATTCAGAGAACACAAATTGAGGATAAAGCCTCGAAGCCTGGTTTGCTGTTAATTATGGTGTTCCTTTGTGAAGAATTAAAAATAAATATCCACTCTGTTGAGACTACTGTTATTAATGAGTGTAGGAAAATAATGGAAAGTACACATAGTGCAACGGTAATAAATAAAGTGATGCACTACGTAATAGTACTGGAAGAGGGCAGATTAAAGACAAACTATGGAAGAATACTGCAGGCTGAGGTTCATAACCCAGGCCTCGATACACTCAAACAGTCTAGCATTTAATTATTTCCCAATTCTGTTCTAACAGGTATACTGACACAATACAGACTGTCAGTTTGCCTTAAGGACTGGGCTGTGTGCCAGTTCTGTAAATTGAAAGATAGCGCACGTTGGTGAAACATATGCAGAAGAAAGGACATACTATTTATTTCCTCTAATGCTGTAATAATTTTCATTATCAGTACGGAGAAGTTAACGGAGAAGCCACAAGACCTAACTGAAGTTATCTCGTAACACCAGAGGAGACACTTCAGATGGTCAGGTAAGGTCCAGTTCCATCCTAAAAGGGTAGATTAGGGTTACAAAGTAAATAATTAGTATCTGCATTGCTATGAGAAACTGGCAACATTATATTTCAGTAATAAAAAGCCACCTCCACATTTGGTCTGTTTTTATTAATTTTCCACCTTTTCCTGACTCTAGGCTTGTCCTGCATAGATTTTTTTTTTTCATCTCATCTGTCTGTGACATTCTTTCAGTCCTTCTTCTTTTCCCATATCTCAGTAAACTTTCATTTTTTTTAACTTGCCTCTCTCTGGGTCTTTCCTTCCGTATTTGTATTCTCAGGTTATTCACTGAAGGACTTGAGTATAAAATTTTCCCACTGTACTCAAGCCTTGCATCATGTCTACCTGACATACGCAGAGGGCATATTTAACACTCACATTTTCAACTTCCTTAACCCCTTAAGGACACATGACATGTGTGACATGTCATAATTTCCTTTTATTCCAGAAGTTTGGTCCTTAAGGGGTTAAAATAGCAAACGGCTAGACACATTTCGGTGGACCTTCCTACAAATCGATAAAATGGGACATGACTGTTATGGAGAATGTGATAACATTCTATCTATAATAATTGATCCAGAGTGTTTCCATTATTGGGATTCCATGCCAGCCTTTCAGATTACAAGTAATCCAATGCTCCGCTGCTCAGAGATGTAATAAGTGGCAGTGCATCTCTACTGGTCACTGACAGCAGTCGTGTATTGCACCTGTATCCAGCGGTGTATTGAGGTGAAGTCTGACCTTCTGAAAAGATCAGGGGAACTTGTCTCCCAGCACTTCGTTGGAAGAGTGGCAACTAAACACTTTCTGGCTCAATGTCAATACTGCACTGCCCATTGCCCTACAGTGCAGCATGCTGTCATAAAAGCTGAGATCATTCATCAACCTGATTATTTATATAAAGACTTTGCATATAGACCACTAATATTCACTGCACATATATCCTATCTATCTATCTAATCTATCCTTGAGTGGAGAATCTTTAACAATGTGCATTTTTAGGTAATTTTAATATAAAATATTGATTTTGAGCGGTCTGTTAAGTCCCAGGAATATGATATGCAGTTTAGAAGCAATAAATTAAAAATGGATCTATGACACATCTTAAAAGATACAGCTGTTTGTAAATCCAGGAATTCCTTTTACATCAGAGCTATTTTTATCAACATTATTAGAGTGCTTTAAGGACCATTAAGTAACACAGGCTACTTCATCTCAATGAGATGGCCTGGGTAGGCTGATCCTGTCATTTTAATCCTTCATGTTAAAATGTTTTGTTTTTTGCAGAAAGAGCAATGTTTAACTTGAAGGGTTAAGCTCACCACTCGGGCCGGTGCGTCCTATAGGCCGATTAGGCGGCTGCCTAGAGCGCTATTTAAGGGGGGTCCCAGCAGCAGTTTTACTGCTGGTTTTGGCCGCCCCACTATGTTTGGCGTGCCGCAGGTGATGGCTGCAGAATAGCGCCCAGTGCCATCATCCTCAGCCAGCCAGGAACACAGAGCCGCCCCTACACACCTCCAATGTTGCAGCGAACAGATGCATCGTATGATTGCTCCACCCTCCCCTTGCACTCGGAGTTAAATGGGCAGGAGTACAGCGGGGGTGGAGCTTACAGAGAATGAAGGCAGCCAGGCCTGAACTGGGACCTACAGAGAGACCATATTAAATAAAGGCAAGTGGGGGACTTCATGGTGTGTGTCAGTCTGTTTCAGTCAGTGTGTTTGTGTGTGTGTATGCTTGTATCAGTGTGTATGTCTATGTGTGTCAGCCAGTTTTAGTCTTTGTGTGTGTATGCTTGGATCAGTGTGTATGTGTGTGTGCGCACGCGCTTGAGTCAGTGTGTGTGCGTGTGTCTAGATCACAGTCCGTGTGTGTGTCTGCTTAGGTCAGTTTGTGTATCAGTCTGCATCAGTCAATGTGTGTGTGTGCATGGATCAGCGTGGGAGTCTAGATCAGAGTGTGTGTGTCTGTTTGGGTCAGTGAATACGTGTCACTCTAGGTGAGTCAGTGATTTTGTGTGTGCATTGATCACTGATTGTAATTGTGTGGACAAGTGTGTGTGAGTGTGTGTATGTGTGTGTGTGTGTGTGTGTGTGTGTGTGTATATATATATATATACACACACATCTATCAGTGATTGCATTTGGGCAAAAAGGATAATTTGAATAAAAAAAAAGAAAAAGTCAATACATTTAAAGTAACACTATAGTGTTCGGAATCTAAACCTGTATTCCGAATACTATAGTTCCTTTGTCCCTACAACTACATAGATTCAAGTCCTCCCCAGACCCCGCCATGCCGTAAAAATGATTTTAAAAAAAAGTGGTGGGTTACTTACATTTATCAAGCACCAAGACTCTCTCTGCACTGCTTGGCTCCTTACCTTGCTCAATGTCACTGATGGGGCAACGCTGATCCAGTCTAATGTTCCTCATACAGGAGTATTGGGGACCTGAAGCGCATAAGTGGCAAGCACTATGCACTTCCAATACTTCTCATAGTTACATGGCATTGTAGCAGAGCTGTTTCTAGTGGCTGTCAGTGTGACCACTACTAGAGTCTTGTAAGGCAATGTTTTATCTTGTGGGATTAAACCTACAGGACCACTGTGGAGCGAATGGGGCGGCAAAATAGTTTTTTGCCCATTGTGGCAAAAATCCTTGCACCGGCCCTGTCACCATATGTCACAGTACCCCAATATCAGTGAGTCCTACACTAATTTTAACATGGGAGATTAACATGCTAACTGCAGTATTTCCTATGTATTGCTATAATGTTCCTTTTAACCCCGTATGGGTCAGTAAAATTCCTTGCGGTTCTGACAATCTAGTCTATGTAGATCATAGCTCACCATCGGCTATATAGCCAGTTATATTTTATAAGACAAAATCAGACGTACAGGCTATTGACATCACTAAATGGGTAGGATGTTCTCTCACTGCATAGGGTCCTTAACCCTGCCATGCCCTACTTGGACTGTCCTCTATCATAGGACTACCTAGTACCTAACCTACTATTGTCCTAATGGGATTAAAGAACATAGATTGTTATAACTACATAAAACATCATCAAAAAGTACAGCCATAGTTACAACTTGATTATTTTAGTAAATAAAAACCAATAGTGAAATGGAGTGTGTTTTTGTTTCAAGCTCCTGACTATCGAAAAATTCTTAAAGGAACACTATAGGGAAAACGAGAGAAATCTCAATGTATCTTTCCTGGTAAAATATTTTATAAATAAATAAATTAATTTCCCTAGTTTTCAAGCCCCCCTTTTTTTAGCTTGCCTCTCTTCAGCACCGATGCTCCTCAGTGCTGGCTAGCTCTCGTCCTCTACCAACGATGGTGGGACCTAATGTGTAGCGAGCACCATGTGTGCCTTCAAGTTTCTCCATAGGAATCAATGCTTTCCTATGGGGAACATAAATGTTAGTTCTCATATAACAGTGTCCCTTTAACTGAACCATTTAACTTACTATAAAGGTTGACAGTGAGTGAGGGTGTATTACAATGGCCAGCAGGTGGCAGGCTTGTACCAAAGGCTGATGTATCACTCATGGTGTAAGCTGTGACTGCATTAAGACAGGGAGTGGTAGTGGCATTAACCTGTTCAGCTACATTGGCCATAAGTGTGAAATTCCCGTAGAATTCCTAATAATGTTCCCTTTAGTGAAAAATCCTGACCACATCTGGAAGATAAATGAACTGGGGGGGAAAAAAGCTGTCGATCTTTTGAAGTTCCCATAGTAACTTCAAAAATCCTTATTAAAACTAAAAATTTCTAATTTAATATGACTTCTAATTTGTCATGTAAGCTGTTTATCTTCTAGAAATCAAAGTGGCTTCAGTGTTCCTTGAAAGAACAAAACCAAAGGCAATAGTGCGGTCAATCATTGGGTTAGGCGTCCAAAGAAGATACAAAATATCCTGCACTTGGGAACGGAATGATATATGAAGTATTAATGTTTGGATAGGATGATTGTGTCTATCTTTAGCCAAACTACTATAAAGACTGTAAGTGGTATAGAACATCATCATGTCTCCAGTGATGGATTATATTAACGCCGGAAAGAAATTATTATAACATCCATCACGGCACACGAGAATGATGTATTTGCAGCTGATTGAACAGAGTGACGTTTCCTATTCCCCAGTTTTATAGACTTAAGGTACTCGTGAACATCCATTTTTTTTAATGAGGTTACAGTAAATGTCGAGTAAATTCCAAAATTCAAGTTAGCCAAAGTGAAAACTGTAGACAAAGGATGTTTCCAGTTTGACTATGGAATAAATACATTGAAAATCACTTTAAATTTCTGGCATTTATAGTTGAAAACTCTGAGGGTTTCAGGAAATCTTAAGAACAGTGATTCATTTTGTCTTCCCCTTTAAATATGTATATTTTGTTAATCATCATTCAATAGCCTTTAGTTCCCCACTAACTCGCCTAACCTTTACCCAGAGTGTGTTGTTGTCTTTCCCAATCCTCCATAATAAATAAAACAATGCCTAAGTGATAATCTACCCAGATTAAGCAAGGAGCCAGGCTGGGTTAATCCTGCTTTAGACAACAGAAACCTCAATTGCAGTAGATAGTGCAAAGGTCAAAAGTGATAGGGCATTGGGTCTAATTAAAGCCTCTTAATAGCTTCCATTTCCTCGGATTGTTTTCAAATGTTATAACCATTTTGATTGTTCCCTTATTATAACAAGGGTTAGTTTGAACTGGCCATTGTTAAAGGAAACCTGCTCTGTTCGCATTACAGAGGCGGTTGTGACATTTCTGTAACCCCCACCTCCAGTCTGCCCGCACTCCACCTGGTCTCGTCACTTATTTCCCCAAGCAGAGCAAACCTCTCCATTGCCGTATGCCAGCGTCTGGACATAGTGATGTTGTGATACTCTCTACCCACTGTTGGCAGCACCAACTAGGGCATTGTCATAGCAACTGCAGTTCACGTGCTGTGGTTGCTATGGGTGGAGAGCAGAAGGCCTGCCTGTGGGTGGTCTCCTTTATCAATCAATTTCTCGGCATTGAGTCTATGCTGAAGAATTGATTGACAAGTGGGAAGATAACCTATTTAAAAATAGTTTTTTCTCTCAATCTACGCATTTGCTAGTTAGCACAATGTATAGATGAAATGTATGGTCTTAAAAGAGCGTAGGTAGAGGTTGGCACATTACAGGTTCTCCTTGATGGGTACATATTTTGATCATGAGTAAGTAAAATCACCTAAACACTTAAGTAATTGTGTTTTTTTTATATAATTACTGTGTGATCAATTTCAGTTGTTTTTACATGCACAAAAAGAAAAAGCGCCACTTTATTCACACAAACCGTTTTTGTTTTTCTCTTTTGTAAATATATTGTTTAATTTACCATAATTGTACTTTTCTGATCAATTATAATGGCAGCATTACATCCCCACCCTATAAGAGTTGTGAAGCTGATTACAGATTGCCTGATAAGACGGGGTTTTTATTTTCTATACAGTTTATCCAGGGAGAGGGTTGGATCATGACGGAGATCTTTAACGTTTCCATTTCACTGTGTTCATACTCTTTAGGACTCCTCAGTCTTTTCAGAGGCCGTGGATCTTTCCTTCAGCCTGCCTTCCATTGTGATATCCAGAGAAAGGGCCTATTAGATGGACTGGAGAACCTGGTCTGAAGATAATTGTGTTTTGTATGTGTTTATTTGTTTTATTCAGTATAACAAACCAGTAGCACTGCCAAATAATTTATGGACTCTTATCTAGAGGTTCCATACTCCATTAGTGTTGTTTTACGATACTGAATCGATTCTACTTCCTATTTGTAGTTATTTGAGGAGTAATGCTGTTGCTGTACTGCCTGCTCCATAGCAAAGACAAGAGACCTGCAGTTCGGGGCAAACTTTATTTGTAAATATGTATTTGGATCCAATCTTGAAGACTGAAAGTGTTTGTTTTTGTTTTCTTATGTCTTTCCATTTTATTTTAAAAATAATGCTGTAGAAACTGTAAAAATATTTTTATTGTAAATAAAAGATTTATTCTACTTTTATTTGTTTTACATAAATAGCTGTTGTGGTTGGATTGGAATAACAGCATGTTATCCTGCTTAGGGAAAACGTTTAAATATTTTTACCACTAGAATATTTTTACATGCAGTACTACATCTTGCCACTAGGAGGATGGACAATACTGTATACATTTCAATGACAAGAGTGGCTTGGGGCTTTCTCCACAATTCTTTTATCCTCACAAATGGTTCATGTTTAACCCCTTAAGGACACATGACATGTGTGGCATGTCATGATTCCCTTTTATTCCAGAAGTTTGGTCCTTAAGGGGTTAAAGCTTGTAAATATCTATGTCACGGCTTCTTACTACAATATACTGTTGAAGACTTGAAAGCTTGAACAAAAATGGGAGACTAGTCCAGATGGAAATATAATAATTTTAAGTATTGCTTATGGTCTCCTCTGATAGCTACTTGAGAAAGTTACCTAAGAATACTCGAATATTTTACGCTGCTAAGGTTATGTGAGGACCATTCTGCCATGCCTTCTGCAGAAGTTGAAAAACATTACAAAAACAAAAAAAAAGCTTGCGTACTACATGTGAATTGTTCACAAGGATTGAGTGCTGATTGGGCCAGTTATACCTGCATGAGGAGGCACTGCTGTAAATGACCCTGAGTGGTTGTAAGTATGGGGATAGACTGGTATAACATCTGGGCACATGTCAATGTTTTGGGGTGTCTTGAAACTTCTGAAACAACCAGTGTCTCCTCACAGACTGAACAATCCTTAGTGTTTGTGAGCATTGATATAGTCTACCTGGGTGTTTGAATGTGCAATAGAACGTTAATGAACCGCATGTATTCAGATGTTGATGCAAGAAGGACAAGGTTCTTCTACTTCTCAATTACACTACTACAGACAATAAACCTCTCTGACCTGACCAATTCCATACAATTTTATTCCTGAACGTATCTCAAGCATCTTGGAGGCTCATAAGGGGCACAACAAGCACAAGATCCATAAGAACTAAATTAGGCTTTAGTAGTTATGGTGCCAGGACTACTGTTACCAGTCTGAGCCATATTCTGCATGCATTTGGAGCTACTCAGAGTAATTCACTCCATTCCAGATTTTCATGAATTAAAACCAATTGGAAGAAATGAGGCAAAACAACTGATCATTTTAGTATAAATTCTCTGAGCAAACAACTTTCACTATATATGAAATGCATTATACCTTTTTGTCATTATACTGCACTTCTCTTAGATTCTAAGCTTGGTATTCAAACTGTCTTCATGTAACTACTTGTTTTATAGTCCAATTATTGTGCAGCGCTCCAGAATACGTTGACTCTTTATATAGTAATAAACAACTTGTATGCCATTTCTAGTCATTTGGTCAATGCTGTACAATGTGTTGGCCCTTTATAAAATAAAAAGCCTATACCAGTGGAGGCTAACCTTGACCTTCCAGGCGATCTTAATCAATACTTCTCATAAAACACAGCATCTTAATCAATACTTCTCATACAGCATCATGGGAAATATAGTAAAGAAACAACCAGGAGGGCCAAGCTTGGACATTGATGATGTATAATAATGAACGTTTTGTTTTTGGTTTTTTAATTTGTGTGTGTTGTGTTCGTATTCTACATTTAATTTATAAAAAAGAAAAAAAAGAAATTACAATTAAGGCATTAATATGTGGTTTATAACTGGCTGTTCTTCTGATTTTTTAAAAACATATACTCAAGCTAGTTTAATTTCACTTTGAATATAGATATATATTATAAAATGTATAAAGCATCTGAAAATCCCTGGGCCCCAAAAACATTCAAATGTTACTTTGATGCAATCTCTGGGTACATGCTGCCCGGTATATCATTAATTCTCTGGGTACCAACTGTGCAGGAGCGTCATCTTCCAAATACAATACGATGGACAAAAAATGCAGTAGAAAATACACTGTACTCCTTCCTGCTTAAATATAACATCTTGGGTGTGTACATGCATCAATTAAGTAGTAATAAGTACGTAGAGATTATTGCATACATTTATTTTATTCAAACACTTAATCAGGCAGATGCTGTCATTGGAAAATCACGTTCTTCTTGTTCCCACAGACAATTTGTGGAAAACTCCATAAAGTTTGGTAACAAGCGTCTTAAATTATGACATAACTGAGATGTTACGGTCCAAACTAGGCGTTTAACAGGAAGCAATTACCCAAAACTCCTATCACATTCTACCCATTAAACCCTTTCACCTCTGTTATCCTTGTATTGCTTCTTTAAGATCGGACCCTAGTTATAATTCTGGTTTTATAAGGACCCTCTAGTAGAGACTTCCACACCATAATCACTGCAGCATAGTGTAGTGGTTACAGTAAAATGAACCTTTGATAACACAAAGCCACTCCTCTGCTGTTATAGTAGTGGAAGCAGTGCCAGGGTTTGGGGGTCTGGAAGGACCCCTGCTTATATCAAACAGCAGACAAATGTTTTAGGTAAAACTAATGGACTGCAATCAAAGTCTCCTTGCACTATAACGATTACAATAAATGTGGATAGTTCCGGTAATTAGAAAGTTTCTCGTATTGAAATAGTTGGATTGGTGTAGGTTTCTGTAATAACAGTATAAATTGCTACTAAATAATTTAGCTTCCTGCTCTGCAGATGAGATCTCATAAAAACGTGTTCTGAAGCACTGTGTGAGAGCCACAATGCTATTATAATATATGCAGATATTATTGAGTATTGAGGTAGATACTAAACACTATGGGAACAAGCTAATGAGCTCTGGATGGATTCTTGATGTGGATATGGTTTTACTCAAAACTGAATAAGGAAAATAAAACCAACTCAACTCTTAAGGAACACGATAGTGTCAGAAATACAAACATGTTCTAAAAGTGCTGTTTAGGTTACCAGCCCCCCTGCCCACCTTTACCAATCTTTTTTTCCAGCGCCGGGCGGTCTCATCACAGCCAGCTCTGCCACACTCCACCTCCTTGGCTGAGATCATCAGTTTTAGTGATCTCAGCCAATCCAATGCTTTCCCATTGGAAAGCATTGGGAGGCAAAACACTGCGCCAGTCAGCATCTCCTTATGAAGATGTATTGAATCAAGTCTGCAAGAACAGGATGTAGACACCAGAACAACTACATCAAGTTACATAGTTGAAAAGAGACTTGCGTCCATCAAGTTCAGCCTTCCTCACATGTTTCACTTCTAAGTTCACTTCTCAATGAGAAGCCTTTGATTGGGAAGAGCTTGCATAGGCTGCTTTTTATAGGAACTGCACCTTTTGTAAGCTCTCTTAAGATACACCCCCAAGTATTCATGCATGTATTCATTGGGGGTATATCTACTAAACAGTGATTTTATTTGTTTCCTCGTGTTTTGATTGTGGAATGATCCATTAACTCCGTGAATGGACGCTGGACGCTTTGCATGATTACGTCCGGCATCTTTATAATCCCTATGGGAAAGCAGTATTCAATGCTTTCATAAGGAGAATCTCCAATGCATGCGCATGTACATTAACTTCTACCCATTGCCGACAGTTTAAAAAAAAAATAAAAATACTAAAACCATTTTTTTTTACTCTTTCAACTTCCAAGGGCAATAGCTTTATGCCTAAGGGACATGACAGTGTTAGGAATACACTTTTGTACCCCTAATGCTATAGTGTTTGTTTAAATATAGCAATCCCCCATAAGGATAGCAAATTAGGGAGTTATCTACTAAACAACTAAAATATCAAAATTAAAAAAGGTTTTCTTAGTTTTGATCTTTCAGCTGTTTAGTAGATAACTCCCTATGTAGGATTTCCATATTTAAGGATACCAAAATCGGTTGCGGTTTAGCAGATTTGAGGACCTTAAATATGGCAATCCCACGTAAAGATAGTAATTAGGTAAGTCAACTGCTAAACAGTTTAAAGATCATAATAATTAAGAGGCGTCAACAAGAATTCCAGGTGACCAATATGATTTCTGTGCAATTTCATTGTCTGATACCAGCATGCAAATCATCCCTTAAGAAGAGAAAGGTTAGGCATGTCCATTGTCGGTCACCAAGGATGCTCACATGATCACATCTGTGGAAGAGGTACGTTATCGAAATTGAATAATAGCTCTCCAGAGTTTCCTGTACGCAGAATGTGGCTGCCACTTTCCCGATTGGACAAAAAAGGCCCCAGAAAAGCCTTGTACAGTGTGAGCATTTAATATCGCTCTGCGCATTAAGGGGGCTTTTCTTTTCCCAGAAACAGGACAATAGAGAAAACTCAGGATGGTGGAACAAGATCCCATAAAACCCAAAATCCGGAGTATCTTGCAGGATTTGAACGTGTTAAGTATTCCCAGAGTCTGAAATAAAATCGTTTCAAAATATGAGAAACGTGCTGAGTGGATATTGAGCTGTGTATATATTTAGAAGTGATAAAACAAGTCTGTTTGCTTTGCCCAAGCTGAGATATTTAAGAATAGAACTTGGTCTTAACCCCTTAAGGACACATGACATGTGTGACATGTCATGATTCCCTTTTATTCCAGAAGTTTGGTCCTTAAGGGGTTAAACTTAGCGACTCTGTGCCAAGAGCTGGGCAGAACATTTCTAAGGGGGGTGTATGTGGATGGTACGCACCCTGCAGCCACAAATCCCTAAATATTCATACAAACCGTGACTGCAGCATCTTTTGCTACTGGCTGCGTTATGATTACTGGGTATCGGTTGGATTTGATGTGTGAGGAATTCCAAAATATAAAAAAGTTGATTGTGATTTATTATTGTAGCAGAGGCATAGGCGCCAGTCACTGTATTTCTATAGTGATGTGCCACACAGGACAGATTGGAATGCTGCATGGTCAGATATACACATTATTATTTATAACACAACCTATTCCACAGTACCAGAATGTATAGTACAGGTCATGCAGATAGTCTTACTGCTATATAGGATGGGCTTAGTGTTATGCTGGACAAAACCAGCCATTTACTGATATCTAGCTAGGCTTTTTGAGAGTTGTAATCTCATATCAGCTGTAGGGAAACCTTTGTATGTCCAATTAATAATTTCAGGAAAGCAGTGCATAATAAGTACCCAGTAGCACAGATCCTATAACAGGGGTTACTTACATTGACAGCCCAGGGCTCCTTGTACCTGGCAGCACAGATCCTATAAGGACAGATCCTATAGGGGTGACTTGCCTTAGTAGTCCAGATCTCCTTGTACCTGGTAACACAGATCCTATAGGGGTGACTTACATTGGTAGTCCAGGGCTAATTGTACCTGGTAACACAGATCCTATAGGGGTGACTTACATTGGTAGTCCAGGGCTAATTGTACCTGGTAACACAGATCCTATAGGGGTGACTTATATTGGTAGTCCAGATCTCCTTGTACCTGGTAACACAGATCCTATAGGGGTGGCTTGCCTTAGTAGTCCAGATCTCCTTGTACCCAGGGCCGGCGCTACCTGTAAGGCGGACTAGGCAGCCGCCTAGGGCGCCCGAGGGGGAAGAAAGAGGGAGGGAGGGGGAAAAGGAAACAGGGAGGGAGGGGGGAAAGAAAGAAACAGGGAG